ATTAAGTGTCAGCCGGCAAACCAAAGGGTCGCCAGTTCAATTCCCAGTCGGGGCACATGCCTGGGTTGCAGGCCAAGTCCCCAGTTGGGGGTGCATGAGAGACAACCACACATTGATGTTTCTCACCCTCTCCTCCCTCCCTTTCCCTCTCTCTAAAACTAGATAAATAAAATATTTTAAAAATTGCAATTTTAATTTTAAAAAATCACAACTAGCCTGATAAATATATTTGTTCCTTCTGAATGGACATTCTTTGAAAGATACAAGTGACCTCAATAGGTAAATACTGGACAGCTAGTCACATGGAAAGGAGAGATTTTTCTTGTACAAGTCTCAGAGCTGACTAGAGTTCTGGAACTTGCAACAGAGAGCATGTATTATCTACCAACAATCGTTTTTATCGAATTAATTTAACAAATATGTATTTTGAGAAAACACTTCATTTTATTTCTAAATTCATTCAGCAAAACTAAGGAAATAAAGGTTAATATAGCTTGGTATTTTTAAAGTCAAGCCACTTTTACATTAAAGTAACCCAGGCACATCCAAACACTACTAATACGTATAAATTTAATTTTTTTTAAGTAGGGTAAATTCTATGGCATGGGAACTATATCTAGAGCCATTACTGTAAAAAACATTTTAAGGTAAAATCTCCTTAACATCCAGAGCTAACTAACTGCTTAGAGTTTTATGAAATATCAGTATGTCAGGACAGCAATTTGTGTAACCAGTCCCCCATTAACAAATAGTTATACTATACAACGGCTTCTTTTCTTCCCAATGAAAATAGTTGTGACAAGCATATTTTCTGTGTATTCATTTGCACAAACCCCTAAGATACCTTTCCAGTTATGGAGTTCTGGGAGGAGCACACAATATATGTGCACTGGACATGTTGACAGCTCCCGACAGACTACCCTAGTACAAACACAGCTGCTCCAGATTACCCTTCACAATTCGGGGCAGGAAGACCTCTTCCATGTGTTCATAGCACTAGTTATCAAACATTATAAATTTTTAAAAAATATTTTATTTATGCCCTGGCTGGTGTAGCTCAGTTAATTGAGCGCAGGCCTGTGAACCATGCGATCGAGGTTCGATTCCCAGTCAGGGCACATGCCTGGGTTGCAGGCCAGTTCCCAGTGGGGGACACATGAGAGGCAACCACACATGGATGTTTTTCTCCCTCTTTCTCCTTCCCTTCCCTCTCTCTGAAAATAAATAAATAAAATATTTTTTAAAAATGTTTTATTTAGAGAGGGGAAGGGAGAAAAGGAGAGAAACATCCATGTGTGGTTGCCTCTCTCTCACTCCCTACTGAGGACCTGGCCTGCAACCCAGGCATGTACTCTGACTGGAAATAGAACCAGTGACCCTTTGGTTCACAGACTAGCAAACCCACTAAGCCACACCAGCCAGGGCTTAAACATTTTAATATTAAGCTTTCTATAATGTCAAAATTATTATTTTATTTTACTTTATTTATTTATCTTTAGAGGGGAAGGGAAGGAGAGAGGGAGAGAATATCAATGTATGGTTGCCTCTCGTGGGTCTCCTGCTAGGAACTGGCCTGCAACCCAGGCATGTGCCCTGACTGGGAATTGAACCAGGATCCTCTGGTTCCAGGCCCACGCTCAATCCACTGAGCTACACCAGCCAGGGCTCAAAATTATTTTTAAGGAGACAGAGGAAGGTGTGGTTACCTTTTTAAATGAAAAAGTAATTCCCACCTATGTTACATTTTCACACTGCACAAAAAGGTCTTGGGTTCCTCTAAACCTACTCTATACCTCTAAGTCTATCAATGAGTATATAACATCCTCCCTTTTTTGGGAAACATCATACTACATCTTGCTTTTCTACTTAATCTTAGAGGTAACTTCACATCCACATACACTAAACTACCTCAATTCTCTTTTCATAGCTATACATCATTCCATCACAAAAAGCTGCAAGTCCCTCACTGAGAGTCTTCTTGGTTCCTGCTGTCCGTAGTTTTAACGCCGTAAGAATATTCTGGAGCACACATGCAAGTGTTTCAGTCAGATATACTTTCATCACTGGCACTGGTAGAAGGTGCTGTCATGTCTACAGATGCTCAATTATCCAGGAGTTGTATTAGGATTACTTAACTCTCCATCTCTTTAATTTTGAGTGAAGGTAAGCACCTGTCATAGGACTAGATGCCTGCTAAGAAATGTCCTTTCTGTCCTTTGCCCATTTTCTATTGAGCTACTGCTACTGTTCTTGTCAATCACAATGAATATACATAGCAGGTCCTCAAATAACAGTTTCATTCAACATCCATAAGATGCTCTAAAAATTTTACTTTTGTTTATATCTATTATTAGCCTATGGACAAACTGGTTTCTTCACACATCTTTTCACTTAAAGTTGCAGAAGCCACTGACAATGTTAAATGAGGACTTGCCATGTAAAGGAAACTAGCCCATCATCGTAAATACTGAAAATATTTTGCACCAGTTTATTTTATGTATGGCTATTTTTCATATGCTAATATCTTATTAGCATACGACAAATGCATCCATCTTTCTCTTACAGCTTCTAGGCTTGATCATATTCGAAGATGACAAAAACAAATTTATTTTAAGGGATCCAACTCGGTATTTTTCCAACTGGCTAATCCGTAGTTTCCAACACTGTTCACTGAAAACCAACCCATCTTCTCTGTTCTGACTGAACACACACCCTTCAAAATAAACTAAATTACTACATTTGTTTCAGTCTCTTTCTGTAGTCTCAATTCCTCTATTTATCTATTCTCTGGCACTGACTAAATTAATTGGGCTATTTAAAAAGTGCACTGACCACCCTGACTAGTGTGGCTCAGTTGGTTGGGCAAAATCCTGCAAAGTGAAAGGTCACCGGTTCAATTCCAACAGCCTGGGTTGCAGGTTTGGCCCTGGCTGGAGCATGGACAAGAGGCAATCAATCCTCTCACACTGATGTTTCTCTCCCTGTTTCCTTCCCTTCCCCTCTCTCTAAAAATAAATAAATGAAATCTTTAAAAATAAATAAAAAGTACACTGACCTGATTTGATAAAAATGTTATGATTTGTGATCCATAAAACTGTAACTAAAACTGAAATTTCAACCTATATACCTGTACACCTACCAGATTTTCTGAAACCCGGTATCACAAGGTAATGGCCTCTTTATATAATCATTCGCAGGTTACTAAAGAATTAAAACTCCAAATACGGAAAATTACCATCTCCAAGCTCCATCTGATGATGAGCCTCAACAGATAAGCTGTTGCTAAAGGCATTTTTAGTTAATTCAAAGATTCGATGCTGAGAGCACAATGTTGTTAAAGAGTACCTTTGAGCCCTGGCTGGTGTGGCTCAGTGAGTTGAGCGCCAACCTGTGACCCAAAAGATCACGGGGTTCAATTCCGGTCAGAGTACATGTCTGGGTTGCAGGCCAGGCCCCAGTTGGCGGCATATAAGAAGCAACCAATCAATGTTTCTCTCCCCTTTCCCCTCTCTTCCCCCTCCCTAAAAAACAAATAAAACTTTTTAAAAAAGGAATGTATTCTGTAGAATTCTTAATTCAATCACTCTTTAAGACAGCTGGTTTAAACAGAATTTACTCCAGCAACAATATATCCTTTAAAATGTCCTTTGGAGGTAAAATGCCTTTCCTTGGGTCTCTGCCTTCCTCACCTCCAGATCAGTTCCTTCCCAACCTTCAACTCAGGAACCTGAATGGCATCAAAGCCCTACATTGATTTCACATCATACTTGTGTTAGATAATCAGGGAAAAGAAAAAATTAAAACGAAGTGACTCTAAATCATGCATTCTCAGTAGGGGTGGAGTAAAAACTGGTCTTAGTCGGTATCTTATATACTACAATGGTTTGTGGCATGAAAAGAATCATAGTACATGAACTTATATGCAGCTTATCTTTGGTATCATGGATATCACGGTATCAGAGTATCATGGAGGGAAGGAGAACAAATTAGGGAAAACGGTTTTAAAAAGGCTCCTTTAGGCCCTGGCTGGTGTGGCTGGTTTAGTGGATTGAGCATGTGCCTGTGAACCAAAGGGTCACCAGTTCGATTCCCAGTTAGGGCACATGCCTGGGTTACAGGCCAGATCCCCAGTAAGGAGGCGTGTGAAAGGCAATCACACACTGGTGTTTCTCTCCCTTTCTTCCTCCATTCCCCTCTGTGGAAAGGCTCCTTTGGGAGACAATAATAAATACAAGTTGTAAAATGTCATTTTACAACCACTAAATCGCAAAATTTAACAGTCTGATAATACCAAGTGTGTGTGGGGATATATACATTGCTATTGGGGGGTGTAAACTGCTATGACCACTTTATAAAACAATAGAGAGAAAAAAAGAAAAGGACATTATAGGACTACTTGAAAGGATGAACATGTGCATCCCTTATAAGCTACAAATCTCTCCCCTAGGGATATATGCTGGATAACAGAATATATCCTAAATATATCCTTGTGCACATGCACCAAGAAAATATTCAGGAATATTCATAATACTCTTCATAGCAGAAAAAAGAAAACCAGAATTAACCCTACTGTCTATGAATAAAGAATGTATATAGTTTGGGGAATACTTGATCAACAATGAAAACAAACCATATCCAACAAAACGAATAAACATAGTACTGAACAAAAAAATTAAGTGAACAACTATCTACACTACAAAACCATTTTTATAAGCCTCAAATACAAGCAAGAATAAATGTAACATTCAAGGAATCATAAAGACATGTAATAAAAATAACTTTAAAAAGAAATGATATATACAAAATACAGAATCGTGTTGGGGTAAGAGACAAACTGGTAGACACCTCATGGTACTGGCTGTGTTCTAGCCCTCAGCCAGAGTGATGGAATAACGAATACCTATTTTGTTTGCTCCATAACTTATACATCTTGCATTATTCCTATTAGTTCAGTATTAGCTCTTCATAGTAAGGACTAATTAACATCAAATAAAACTTACATCCAATTCAAAAAACAGGTCCCTTTCTTTACTTGCAATCTCATAATCTGCTCTGAGGGCCAAGTCGTGGATTTTGGTACATTCTCCTAAATCCATGCGCTGTAAGAAACAAACAAAAGTTTATGTGTGAACAGCTACCCATTAGAAAGCACATGACCTGTCACCAAAATAGACAATACTTTTTTGAATACTAAACTATGAAAGAAAAATTAAGAAACAGAATATAGCTAAAAAGTCTTATTTTTCCTTTACCACCATAATTATATGGTACTCAGAACTAATGCATTTAGGGAGTATAAAGGTTTGTATCTTTTAGACCCAGAGATAATTAAACTAATAATGAAAACCACACCAGAGATAATTAAAATAAAGAAAACCACATTACCGTAATAAGCTTTGCCAATTTTATTTTTGCATTAATCAGAGAAGAAATATCTATTCAGTGAATAGAAGACTTGGGGGTTGGCAGGGTGGGGGAGCAAAGAAAAGGCCAGAAAACAAGAGTATCTGGATAGCAACACGCTTTTAGGCATTCCTTACAATCGTTACTACTCAAGACACTCAAGTTGCAGAGACAAGAAAAGGAAAGAACAGATAGAAATCAGGTTTTTGGCAATTACAAGAGAAACTAACACTTGGCTTTTGTGTAGCTCTTCCTATAACAAGTAATAAAGCAGAATAGGCTGATTCAGAGCAGAACAGATCCTCCTCAATTCTCCTAACCTGGTAAATGACCTCAGATAAATAACTGGGCCATTCAGTTGCCCTATTTGAGGAAAAAAGCCTTTTATTCAAATAATCCGTGTTAGAGTAAGATTACCATGATGAGCTATTACTTACAGTTCTTATCTAAATCTTGAGTACAAGACTCCATACAGCCAGACACCGCCCCACCTTCCCCCCCACAATCTAAACAGCAACAGGAAGTTTTTGTTGAGGATCACATTCAAGACAGAGTACAAGTTAACAAAATCTAACATCACAATGAGGCACCTCTTAAGTCCGAACTGCTGAGCAAAAGCACGTCTGCATAATTATTAAACAAAAAATGATGGAGTCTACGAATTCCTTTAAGCTTGAATTATGTTTAAAATGAGGCAATAACTTTTCTGGGTTATAAAATCCTTAATATTTTAAACAAATCAGAGAGGCTCACAGTTCCTGGCTCTTGTGCCCTATATAACAGAAGGGTGTATACCACGCTCACTAAAACAAATTATCCTTCAGTATTACCACTGACAGTAATACTATAGTAAGCTGCCTAATGTGGAATTTACCTTTATTTCTACCAAAGACAGACTTGAATTTAAATGCTAAAACCTCTTCCCTTTCATTATTCTTATTCTGACATTATGGTACACAAGTCATGTGTAGCTTGTGTACCATATTTTGCTGTGTATAATGAGTTTTGCCCAATTTCTGAGGGAAAAATAAGAATGCACATTATACATGGGTAGTACCTGAAATACCTTGCATCTGTTCTTGTTTTGTAATTATTTGTTACATAACATTTCTTGCACCATAACACGTTCAAAAATAAATGCTAAAGTTCCTTTATAATACCAAAAATAAGTATCTAAACATTAAACAATCAATTAATTAATTAATTAAAATAAGCAGTTTTCCCCTGAAAGTTTGGGCCAAAAACATGGGTGAGTATTATACACAGGAACACATCATTCACAGCAAGACACAGGTATGTTGGTTATCCAGGGGACCTAGAGGTAGGGCAATAATAGTTCTAGAAGAACAACAGTCCCTTTAAGGCTGACTTTTGCTTCATTCACTCTTTTAAATCCCAGCTGGGGATACGCAAGAGGCAACAGAACAATGTTTCTCTGCCTTTCTCCCTCCCTTCCCGCTCTCTAAAAATAAATAATTTTTTAATTTTTTAAATAAAATATAGTTTCTATATATGAAACTATACACTATAGCTGAATATTGACTGGAAGTTATGAGACATGCTTAAAAGCAATGAAGTCTCTGTTGCTCAAAAAAAACTACCACAAGAGTGTAAAACACTAAAACTTTAAGTACTAAAAATTTTAAGTGCAAATCAATTTCCGCTCAAAAAGTACCAAATGTCAAGTTTTGACATCAGGTAACCACAGTGAAGCAAAATTCACCGTTTCTCCCTTTGGGTGAGAGCTCCCAGACACTGCTAAAGAAAGTGGGGGATAAACCTGGGTCCCATGGTTACTCTCTGGATGTATCTTCAGCTTAGCCCAGGAGCAGAGCTGGGCTATCTTCCCTAGCCCAGGAGGCAGGGAAGGAAGTATTGGCCAATTCTCCTGGCAGCTAAACAGCAAGCAGAGCTGAAACACCGCGTTCATTAGATCCTTCCAAAATATTCCAAGTGGATGAATATTTCAGCATGTCAAAACTTTTTTACTGCAAACACCTATTTTCTCCACACTCTAGTGATCTCACACTGCTGACAGGAAAGGAGACTAAAGGCTCCTTCCAAGACCTTTGGAAAACAGTTCTTCCAAGGAAACAAATTACACTCCTTTCCCTCCAACTACTGTATTTTACTCTTCCAAATTTACTAACCAATACTACATTTTCCCATTAAGCCCCAATAAAATTATTACTTCCACTACTCCTTGCCTCACCCTCACTAATAATAAGAGATGGTTTTGAACAAAAACTTAGGCCTGGAGTAGCGCTTACCAGGCTGAGGGTTATAACCACTTTCATCCTGCTGCTCCACTCTGAAGAATTACATTCATTCCAATCAAAACAAAACAAACTCTCCATAAGATCCATTCTTCAACTCTACCCGATTTCCCACCTCCATGTAGCCCTCGCCCAATGAGGCTCAACCTTTACAACCTCCCCTCGAATTCCCAATCCTTATCCTAATCAACCCTCAGCAATTCTTGAGATTTATTTGCATCTTCACATGAGCATGTCTCCTGGGTTTTCTCCTCCTCAGCCTGCCCCTTCTCATACTCCCTTTACTGAACTGCCCATGCCCAACCCCACACAGGAGTGAATCTGATCAGTCTGTGGCTTATCACTCATTTGATGCCACAGCCTCTGCCTCCCCCTTCCCCTCACACACACCAGTCCAGATATAACAGTGGCATTCCTTCAGACCCATCCTCATACCCAGAGCATTACATGCCCAAACCAGATCCATTATGTTCTTATTCACCATTCAGGTCTCTACTCCAAATGTCCCTAAGAGGCCTTACCTTATCATCTATCTAAGCAGTCCATCATCTGTTTATTATTTATTGTCCTCTTCAAACATTAGGTGAGAGTAAAGACTTTGTCTTATTGACACCAGTGCCTGGCATAGAGTTGGTGTCCAATAAATGTTTGGTGACGTAATCTATAACTAACATGGTAAACGTTTGTAGGAAATGAATTCATTCAGGTTATTTTACTCACCAGCATCCTGGAACAATGCTATACAGGGACCTAAGAAAAACATGATTGAAATGCTTCACTCTGGTGCACGTCCTTCTTCTTCCTCTGACTTCTGACTTCTTCTATTAAGATCTATCAACAGTTCTAGGTTATGAAACTTCCTACAGAAGTATCCTATGGCTGAACTGTTTATGACTAATGGAAACCAGACATTTACACTGATGGATTTATTTGGCTCTGAATTAGCCTATTCTGCTTGATTTCCTCTGGTTTATGAAGAGAGACAAACAACAATATGCAGCAAACTCAAATTATAATGCTCTCCAAAGCAAGGTCAAAGTGCAGGCAAGCCTCAGGTAACAGAGTCACAAGGTTTGGCATTCATTTCCCATTTGCTGTCAGAAGAGCTAGCTTGAGATTTAATACACCTGAGCAGCTTTCCAGTGGCTGCTCCCACAACTGCATTAGTAAAGCAATGATTAATCATAAAGATGTTCACTGGTACATGCACACCTGACCCTAGTGTTTAGACAGTTTTTACATCCACGGCTTAGGTGTGAAGTTTTAAAATGGTGCCGATCTTTACAGGACTCCTTTTCAGTAAATGGTAAATCATGGTAGATAATCCTCCGGTCTTTAGTCTTCTTAAATCCTACCTAATTTTGAATAAATACACATTCTACAAAACTAGCCCTTATCTGCTTGGTTCATGTGAAGTCAACTTAAAAATTTTAGGGGTCTATATTCATTGGATATGTTCCTTTCTTGAAAGGGTGACACAGGACAAAAATACACAGTCAACGTTATTCCCAACTTGTTTTTAAAAAACCCAAAAATCCGGGAAGAAATGTATCTTGTAGATAAAAAGTCTAGCACTGTGTTTAACTTGAAAACCAACCAACCAGGCCAAGGTCTTCAAAGAACTACAGGCTAACCTGAGGTATACTTTTTGCTGTAGCCAAAGAAGACCACTTGTACTACTTAGCTCTGAATACTTCCATATAAATGACTTCACAAAAACCTGGTAACTTTAAAGACGGAAATTTATAACAGGAAATATGTTCCACAATATAAAATTACACTTAACAGAACCTGTCATTTGAAGGGGCAATAAAGGTGATTTCTACTCGATAAAGAAAAACAGAATTCAACTTGGAAAACCTATATAGGTTATACTGCACTCCTGGGTGTTCTGTGACTCCCCCTCACCCAATGCACCTACCGTCCCAGCCAGGATGTCGTGGGGGCAGCAATCCAGAAGGTGACTCTTGCAGACTCGGTCATCTGTAAACTTCACCCTCTGTCTGGTTTCATCTCCTGAAATTTATTTGTGGTTTTAAATAAAATAATACCATGTTAAACACAAGAGCATATCTGGTACAATTCACCTGGATGATTTGTAGACTACCAAATACACTGAAAAGCTGATTTAGAGATATTTACAACTGGAGCGGAATACAGATGTTTTCTGATGCTAAAAATATCATGAAGAATCACTCTTAATGAGATCTGACTCCATCATTGTGCCAAAGAAGTCAAGGAGTCAAAAGCAAAAGGCTGAGTACCAAAAGGCCATTGGCCCCACACATACATGTGGGCCATGAGATACCAAAACCTATGCTAATCAGAGGGCCATGAATCACCAATGACCAATAACTGGTAGTTTCCACCAACAAAAACTACTTATTAATCTAAACGTTTTGCCGTGGATGAGTGTATAGGCAATATTTTGCCCAAACATACAAAGCTAGCTTTCCAACTCTACCACTGACTAATAAATAACCTAGACTAAGTCTTCATCCCTCTTTCACCCCCACCCTTAAAAAAGAGAGGTGGCACGTGGGAGTCACTGTTAACAAGACAATACTAAAAAAGGGGGAAAAAAAGAAAAAAGAAAAAAAGAACTAGGTTAGTCAATACACACTGTGAGTTCCAACATATACTGTACCCATCTGCATTCTTCAAGACCTCAGCTGCAGAATTTTATGCCCGCTGTTGAAAAGTTTTAAAGGAAAAGTTTTCTTGCCCAACCTGCAGTAAGGAAGTCAGGGGAATGATACATAAAAGTAAAGGCAAAGTGGAATGTGACAAATTTTAAAGCTAATCTGTGTATATGACACAGAGTTGTGTAATACTAAAAGAGGAATATATCTCAGGATTTGCAAGCATCCAGGATTAATGTAGTGTCTTTTTTTGAAAATGTTTTCTTTCTAAACTACACTTTTAAAGTTACTTGTGAAAAAAAGCAAACACTTTTTTGTTATAACAGCTTAGAAATTGGTTGTGACTCACGGCTCGATGAACATGAGGCTTTTCTGCAACTCCCTTGCAGATTGATGTAGGCAGGCAAAGATACACTGAACCTTTATAAATAAAATAGAGGGGCCACAATTGTTCAGTTTGTATGAAATAAAAATATGGGAAGCAATTCAAAAGCAACTCAATATACAAAGAAAGCTAAAAAGCACTTATTCACCTATGAAATATAGTGCAAAGAATTTGCACAGCCCTGAGAATGTGCCAGTGTGAACTTACAACTTCATTACTTCAGTAGGAAACACAAACCACAGCAGATAATGTAGTTTTGCAAAAGATGCAACAGCTTTTTCCTGAAACAACCATCATGATATTCCACTCCTCCCTACAATACGACCTACCTAACGACTGACAAGCGCTAGCTAAACAGAAGCGATCCTGTGTGGTTGGGAAGGGAGCTTGGAAAAGCACCAGGCAGGAACCCACGTAAGAAAAGCTCCATTTACGGCTCTCCTTGCAGTGGTACAAAACAAGAACGGCCGGGGTTCGAGGCCCATCGGCTCCCACGGGTGTAGCTTCTCCCAGGCTGCGAGCAACTAGGAGCCCATGTTAGCTACAGCCCTTCGCCGACTCCCCGGTTGGAGAAGCTGCGGCTACCACTGGGTTGGACATGGCAGAATCGTAAATGGGAATGGGGCTACAGCCCCACAATCAGAGTGCGCTCGGAGGAAGAAGCTCGCCGAAGATCCGAAGACGCTGGGAGAAAAGCCAGCCGAACAGGTGAACCCGCTCAGACAAAGGCCCGGCGACTGCCTTCGAAACGTGGGGCAGGGGTGGGGGGAGAGCGCAGGCGCAGACGGTCGCTGCCCCCGCCTCAGGCCGCCCGGCGGCCTCGCCTCACTCCCGCCCCAGTCCTTCGCCTGGCCGGCCGTCCCGACTCACCGTCCCGGGCCGTGCCCATGAGTTGGTCCAGCAGGGCCCGCATCTGCGCCTGGGCGGACATGGTGGCCGGCAGGGGCGGCAGGTACGGCCGCGACAGTAGCTCTCTACTCAGCGGCAGCAGCGATGACGAAGGATGGTCGCAACGACCTCGAGCCCACTCGGCTACTTCCTGTTGCGGGGGAACGTAGGGAGGAAGTGCATCAGCTCTGGCCTCTGGCCTGCTGGGAAATGTAGTCGCAGGGACCGGTGAGTCTAGAACTTCGCTGTGGAGAATGAGGCTGGATTCTTCAAGCGTTGTCCAATGGGCAGCACCAGTCTACTCTGATTCTACTTTAGAGCCGAAGACCTGTAGGTTCTACAGAGGCTAACCTATAATAAAACAAGACGAAAGTAATTTTTATTTATTTTATTATTTATTATTATTTTATTTTTATTTTTATTTTTAGAGAGAGGGGAAGCAAGGGAGAAAGAGTGGGAAACCTCAACCTGGGGTGGCCTGTCTCGTGCTGCCTACCCACTGGGGACCTGGCCCGCGTGTGCCCTGGCTGAGAATCACACCAGCGACCCTTTGGTTCATCCACTGAGCCACACCAGCCAGGGCTATTTATATTTTAGAGGGAGGGAAGGGGAGGGAGAGAGAGAGGCAGAGAAACATGGATCAGTTGCTTCTCCTAAGCACCTGACCTGGACCCAACTGCAATAGAGGCATGTGCCCAGGCCAGAAACCAGCCATGTGGCTACCTTTCCCTTTGTGGGACAAAGCCCAACCAACTGAACTATACCAGTCAGGGTCAAGATGATTATTGACAAACTAAACAATGAAGTGAATTCCATGAGATTTTTGTTAGCCAATTCCCAAATTAATGAGTCTTTAACCTGAACAGAAATCTGGAGGCCCTATAGAAGGAACTCTCAAGTCCTGAGTCATGGCAGAAAGACCTACAAGAGTTCTATGGCTATAACAACCCTTCCCCACACACTTCCCCTTACCCTCTATAAAAGAAAGATTTTGCATTGTTTACCGTGAACTTGCACGTGATTCACTGTGGCAACAAGATCTGTAATACAATCCTGTCTTTACTCCTGAATAAATCTTTTTTTGCTAAATTAATAGCTGGCTGACTTTTTGTTTGCAGTCAACTCATGGGGTCCAAATAAGATGTCCCATAGCCCTGGGCTGATGAGCAAACAAGTATGGTACCTACAGAGCCAGCCATTTGAACAAGCAATTTTTCTCACTCTTTCAGGAGCTGGAGAGTAAGTTTTCTCTTGAGTCCAAGTTTTCACTCTTCTTGTGTTTCAAAGCTCTCTGGCATTTATTAGAAATCTGTGTAGAGGTTTCTTTTCTTTTTCTATTAAAAAGACTTGTTTGTTTGTGAACTCTCTTCCATACTTTCACCTGATTTCCTAGGGAAGAGGTACCCAAACTCCAGGCGAAGGACAGGTACTAGGCCTTGGCCTGTTAGGAACCAGGCTGCAAGTAAATCTCCCCTGAGCTTCACCTCCTGTTTCTACCTCAACACCCCCATCTACAGTAGGGGGGATGAGGAATGAACTCACCTGAGCTCTGCCTAATGTCCCCGCCCCCTAACTTCCCCACTCCACAACCCCTACACCCATCTTCCATGAAACCAGTCCTTGGTGCCCAAATGGTTGGGGACCACTGCCCTAGGGGATCAGTCTGTATCTTGGGACCGTGTTAGCCATTGACTTGTTTCTTTTAGAATTGGATCCTTTGTGCTAGCTGTCAGCCTAATTCTGTCCTATGGTCAGATTTTGGCCTGGCTCTTTCCAGAGCAGGCTATTTTAATACTGATAGAACCACACTTTTTCATCCTGGCTAGTGTGGCTCAGTGGATTGTGCCACATCCACTGCCGCGTCCACTGTTGGATCCCTCTCTCCATGACAAGGTCCTGAGAGGGGGTGTAAGACTTCAAGGAAGCAGTTTCCAACTTGGTGGACATGGCATGGAAGACCCTGCATTACCTATTATGATTGTGCTTGCTTTGGGGATCATGACCTTTTCTGCTTTAATCATTATGAATACCCTTGCAGTGATTCAGATAGTGCACCTAGACCTTTCCCGGCTCAATGAACAGAATAATGATATCGTACTAGAAACGTCAGGGAATATAGGTACAAAGAAACAACCAGAACAATCTGAGAATTCAAGCTTAATCAATAACAGATCATTGGAAAAACACCCAAGATAAGATAGAAAACTCTAGGAAATCAGGAGATGATTTCACTGCTTTCTTAGAGGGAATCAAAGTACAAAACATGTCTATAAAAGAACTCCTAGAGAAACTTAAAAGAAGTACCCTTAAAAGCCCCCTGCAACATAGGAATAGCCCCTCCTTTACCCTGAATAAGAATATATATCAACTAGACAGGCAAAGAAATAACAAAAGCTAGCTAGTTATTACAAACTAAACAGTTACTAAAGAGTCAGAATTTATAGTACACAGAAAAACATTTTAGACAAAAAAAGGTAGATAGCTAAGTTAGACATCACAAGGGCCTTATAATAAATTTCCTATTTTCTCTACTCAATCTAGCGTATCCTTTTGCCCTATGACAAATTCTGAGAAACTTTAACATACAATAAGATACTTCTAATTGTCTGATTAATAGCTCTCCTGGTTAAAATAATCTTTGTTTATTATAACTAAATCTATGGGAACTTTCATACTTTTACTGATTACCTTTGTATTAATTTTTTCTGCTTAAATGATCATGTTATACTGCAAATGTTAATCACTACCTAAAATGAAAATATAAAAACCTGCTTGTACTTGCAATAAACGGAACAGAGCTTCACTGTCCTTTGAGGCGTGTTGTCGTCTGTTACCCAGCGCCAACGCCTACCCTCACCTATGGGTCCCCTTGACCCGCTGAGGCCGGACCACGGCAGGATTGAGTGATGGCCTGGGAATGAAAGGGTCGCCAGTTCAATTCCCAGTCAAGACGTGTGAGAGGCAACCACACACTGATGTTTCTCTCCCACTCTTTCTCCCTTCTTTCCTTTCTCTCTCTAAAAATACAGAAATAAATAAAAAAATAAGTAAATAAAAATTAACGGAACTGCCCTGGCTGATGTAGCCCAGTGGAATGAGCACCAAACAACCACGGTTCGATTCCCAGTCAGGGCACATGCCTGGGTTGCAAGCCAGTTCCCAGCAGGGGATGCACAAGAGGCAACCATACATTGATATTTCTTTTCTTCTCTCCTTCCCTTCCCCTCTAAAGATAAATAAACAAAATCTTAAACAAAAATTAATGGGACTGGCTGGTATTAAGCCTGTAGGCTATCCAAGGTATATGAGTTACTTAGCCTATATGCAGGGTCCTTGCTCTATCACTCTAGATAAAAGCTTCTGAAAAATAGAGTCTTAAGTATCTAAATATTTCCCTCCTACAGGCACCCTTTGAGGGGGTTCAGAGCAAGGATCCCCTGAAAATAGGAGAAAACCCCACATCTCTCTATAGGGGGAAGGGGGAAGTGGATGCTACTGCTTAATATACGTTGCATAACAATCGCAAGTTAATAGCTGTGCCTTTCCTGAACTGAGAGAACTGCGGCCCAGGGAGAAAGGTATAGTGACTTGTGATATAGCCAGGGGAGGTGGAGGCCCCTGAGTCACGGGGAACTCTTGCCTTGACTAAAGATAGCAGCCAAAAGAAGATAAAAGATACTGGAGAACTAACAAAAATTGTGCACACCATAGAAGAGACCAGACTGAAGTCACATAGGAAGTTCCAGGCCAACCTTTTAAACTAAGGGCTTTCAGTCAAGATAGTGGCATAGGCAGACACGGCTCACCTCTGCACAACCACATCAAAATTATAACTAAAATATAGAACAACCATCACTCAGGAACATCAGAAATTGAACTGAATGGAAATCTGACAACTACGAAATTAAAGAAACCACAACCATCCAGACTGGTAGGAGGTGTGCAGATATGGAAGGGGCTGGTCCCATACTCACATGGATAAGAATTAGAGAAGGATATCTTGGGAGCAAGGAGTCCCAGGCCCACACCAGGCTCCCCAGCCCATGGTTCTAGTGCCAGGAAGATAAGTCCCCACAACTTCTGGCTGCAAAAACCAGTGGGGATTGAGTTGGGAGAAGAAATTATTGCGAGTCCCAAGAAGTTCCTCTTAAAGAACCCACACATGGACTCATTTACTCAGACTCACTTCCTCTGAGCTCCAGCACCAGGGTAGCAGCTTGAAAGGAACCAGTGGTATATAGGTGTCACAGATGGTAGGCACAGGTAACCAGACAAAGAATTGAACCAGCACAGAGTTTATAGCAGAAAGAGAGAGAGCAGATTTATTAAGCAATAGTACACTCCATAGAAAATGGGAGCAGGCCAACTCCAACCAGAGATTGACCTCAGGGGCTGGAGGGATCTGAATCTTTTTTTTTTTTTAATATTTATTTATTTATTTATTTATCTTTAGAGGGGAAGGAAAGAAGGAGAGAAACATCAATGTATGGTTGCCTCTAGTGCGTCCCCTGCTGGGAACTGGCCTGCAGGGAACTGGCTTGCAACCCAGGTATGTGCCCTGACTGGGAATTGAACCACGATCCTCTGGTTCGCAGACCTGCGCTCAATCCACCGAGCTACACCAGCCAGGGCTCGGGATCTGAATCTTATAGGGAGACTATTTCCTGGCTTGTTTTGGAAGGGTTTTATTGTGCATTTACAAGTAGTTATATTACTTTAAAGCTACTGTGCATGTGGTCTCCCATGATTTTCCTTGACTGGCCACCGAAGAAGGAGGTCCCATAATGTTAATTTATTATAATGTTATTATAATGAAGCAGGGGTCATGTAGCATTTTCTGCGAAGGTGCGTTCATGATTCACCATGATTCAGTGCTTTTCCAGAAAGCCAGAACAACAGGTCTTAGAAAATCGTCTCTGTCCTGTATCATTGTCCTTTATCTTAGCCCTGGGGCTCCCTGAAAGTTTCCTCCTTCCTGAGGAAAAGGAGGAAAACTCCTTTTGAGTTTTGAAACTATCTCCTGACTCACAGGGAGAAACTGAAGTATCTGGCATCAAAGCAAGCAGAGGCCACTGTCCCATTTCAGAGCTCCCCCTCCCACAGATCCAGTTAATTGGTGCCATATCTGAGACTCCATCAACCTGGCTAACACTGTTTGACCCACCTTGGAGATCCCCAGAGGCTGTATCCCACCCAACTTATGGATCTACTCAAGCTGCTTTTCCCTAAGAATAGATGGTCTCAGCTCCTAAATACTATCAAACAAGCAACAGCTGACAGCTTGGCTTCACCTGGGAATCTCTAAGCCCAGCACAAGCACCAGCCATCTCAGATTGCTTTATAACTCAGGC